TATCAAATTATATATTTCAAAACAACATATGGAAAGTTTAATTTGGGGAAAAAAATTTTAGCTTTTGCATCTGAAAAGATCTTCCTTTATGCTGGTATAAGCTAAGTTTAATCACAAATAATCAACCAATATACGGGATGAATAAACTTAAGACCCATCATGAGTATTGTTAGCTATGCACTCGGAGGAAAAAAAAATCTAGGTAAAAGTCCTACCTTTCTCAAATCATCGAGTCCTGTCATCACTTTCACTATAACAAAAAATTTACTGTCTTTGTATTTATTTCATCTGGTGGCATTCAGGTCAGGTCAAGTGAAAAAAAAAACTATCCTCAAGAGTGGCCAAAAGCAAATATTTAGGAAGCGGTAATAAGAACAGGAGAAGTTCTTATGTCATGCTTCACCCATGCGCTTGCTCAGTCTCCAACTGCGTGCAGCTCAAGGATTTTCAAATTGGACTGGGTATCCACTTATTTAGTAACACAAATGGCTTTCTCTTTCACAAAGTTGCCCAATTTCCCATTGAACTTATGTAAATTTTTAACATCCACATCACCCTATGGTGAAATATTCCATAGCTTAATTGCATATTATGTGAAGAACCACCTTATTTTGTTTAATATCAATTTTTCACCTGGTAGGTTGATTTGGATGCCACCTAGTTCTTATATCAGAAGCAGCAGCGAATGTTATAATGGGAAGACAAAACAAAAACCACAAAGTTTCATCATATCTGATCTGTATAGAACGATCTGATCTGTGAGAATGATATAGATGATCTGTATAGAAACCTGTATAGGTTTTAACATTTTTTCTGCTTCTGCAAGATTGTAGGTCTCGAATTGTGTGAGAAAAGTAAGATTTCCATTGAAAGTAGTAGGAGAGATACAATTTCCTTCATTTTTCCTGAGTTCACAGAAATTGGGATGAAATTTCATGAGAAAAATTAAGCTCAATTGGCAACTCGCCGTCCCTGAGAAGGGCCATTCGCTTTCTCTTGTCCTAGCCCTGGCTGTGCAGTCCTCCTTCCCTTGTGCTGGCTCTGGTACTCATCTCACAGGTTAGCGAGTTGCTCTTCTTTAATTGAGTCAGTTTTTTGTCAACTTGGAGACCTGAATCAGCTCAGCAAGGAGCTGAAAATCGTTAGAGTCAGCTCAAGGAACAATGAGAATGTGCTGCCAAGAACGGGGAGAAGGAGGTGGACAATCTCCTTCAGCAACAGTGAACTGCCACATCAACTCAATTTTCCTCAAAATACCTCAACTTAAATGGTAGCCACTAAAAACATGGTGGCCCATATGAAATCAGGTAATAGCTGTCATTTTTTCCTGGCAGGCAACTATCCCTATTACTTAAATCTGCATCACAACATACACTAATTTGTAGGCTTTACATAAAAACCTAGATTTCCTAGGATTCACTAAGACAGCAACACCTGAATAAACTGCACGTAATGAGATTTAACATGTAGAAATAAGAAACTAGCCTTAAAGCAACATGTGCAATTACCTTCCTTCAGCTTCTGCTGCACGTGAGCCCTGCACCACAGAAGATAAATGATATAACCCCAATAATGATTAAACCAGATTTCAAATAAGTTCTCCCCAGATCTCACGGGCTTCTTTACTGTGAAGACTTATGACAATTCAAAACATTCTAACTAAAATTCTAAATACAAATGCAGATGAAATGGAAGACCAGTCTCCTCAGTGATGGCTGTCTTTCCACAGGGAAAGTAAATATAGATAATATGTTAGGAACACAGTTTTTGTCCCCTTGAGATTATAAATGAAAATTATTGATAAGATAATCTTAAGTAAGTTTGAAAAGCCACACTGTTCCTGAACAGGTGCTTGACTACTGGTGCCTATCACTAGAGAAATGAAGTTTTTGCCTTTGTTTAGATTTCATTGACATGAAGTTCATCCTTTATTACCAGAAGTATTTTAAGTGATCAGGAGACTAAGCTTCTTAGATGCAAAAAGTCTGTTTTAAAACATTAAGATAGATATAATGGGAAGGACACAATGATGGTACCCTAAGTTCTGAAGACAGCTTGTACTACAAACACCAAGAATGCATATTGGAAGTGAACGCAGACTATGGTTCTTAGCTTTGGTTATAATGCCATTTGAAATAATGTCAAAAACATTACTAAAGTGAACATAAATGGCATGTTCATATTATTACCTATCCACAAGTTTATTATCTCATATAGAAAGGTTATCTGACACGCTGGCTGCTACCTATATACTTGTCTTCTTATTATTAAATGATTATTTTTTCCAGCGTTTCCCAGAAATTGAAGTTACCTCTATGAGCCTGCAATTCAGTGACTCCTCCTCCACAGCATTTAAAGACAGATACTGTATTTGTATGTTTTAATCTTCCAATTCCTTCTTCCCTTCACTGTCCTCCACCAGTTATCCAGCAGATAAACACTAACGGTCCCAACACTTCATCAGCAAGCTCTTAAAACACTTTGCTGGCACAATCTATTTGAAATCACCTAATTTACTTAGGTATTCGCTAGTCTGCCTTTGCCCTAGTAAGAGCTGAAGTCTAGTCCTTCTGTCACTGTTATCAGTTATGATAATGAGATTTCAGGGCTCCTTTTTAGTGAAGACTAACACAAAAAAAGCATTACAAATTTCTACATTTTCAGTATCAACTGACTACCTTTTCCACTTCGGGGGGGGGGAAGTAAACTAGTAGTTTCGCCAAGTAATCAACCAACCCTCCTTTTGGTCTTCTCATAATTAGTAAGGTACCTAAGAAAAAATGTGTATCACTGTTGATATTTCTTGCTAGTTGTATCTTACTTTGTACCCTAGTTTTTCAAATTTTGTCTCTACCCTCTCATTTTACAGTTTTGCATTGGTCCCTAACAACAGCCTGCGAGGCATCCAAAAGCTCATGATTTAGCCAAGATGGTGCTGTATTACATTTCTTATCTTCTGCAATGAGAAACTACAATTTTTAGCTTGAAGATTATGGTTTTTTTCTATCTCCCAGATTTTACCTACTGATTTCAAGTCTCTTGACATCAATCTTCCTGCAACTCGCTGTTTTAAATTAAAATAAGAAATACATTTGTAAGGTTTTAAAGCAGGATTTAAATACTTCAGGTGTAGGCACTCACACATTTCTTGTCATGATCAAAAATGCTTTGCAAATGTGGCATATGTTTTCATCCCTCTTCTACAAATAAGGAAACTGAGGTTCTTTACCTCTTTTTCAGTGGAAGAAAACAATCACACAACTTTCTAGACTTCAGTAATTCAGGGTAATTGCAGTGACTGGAAAGCTAAGAGCAGATCTGATGTCTCTGTAGGTTCCTAGGCCTCTGCTCTAGCAACAAGAGAAGATCATTTCACTAGGTATCAAAAAACCCAGTATTTAAATTTTTTTACTATTAAAGATGAGAACACATATTACAGATGCCAGTGTTTTTAACATACGTGAAAGTGTTTCTCTAATAAACTTCCATGTGTTCCTGTAGTAACAGTCCTTTCTGCTGGGAGAATAATATCTTGAAACTTCCTCTTAAGAACCATTAATCTGATGCACATTTTTTTAAATGAAATTACTATACTCATCCAGCCCTTATATAACTCTGAAATAGATTTTTATCCCTGAAAGACCAAGATTAATGAACTGAGGTGACAAATGAGATGGCATCTTCTTCCATTTCTCTTCTGCAAAGATTGTCTCCAGCTGTATGCTGAAATTGTAAGCATTATATTTAGTCTTCCCTCTGATTTCCTCCCAGTTCTAAAAGTTTTTAGCAATGGTTGCTGTCCTACGTATCATGTCAGTGAGATGGTCTAGTCAAGAACAGACTCATATGCAGAAACTAAGAAGGGCAGCAGATATAACACCTACGTGTTATAAATGTCCTAAGTCCAGGATGAGAGTAGTCTATTATTACTTCTTTTTACAGTCGAAAAGGACTATTCTGCAGGGCTCCCATAATTATTTTTGCTATATGTCCAGGAGGTTTGTTTTTATATTCTTAAGTTTGGCCAGAATAACAATATTTTAATCCTAGATTTCAAACTTCCTTTTGAATATTGATTGACTTGTGTACTTAAACGTCTCTGCATATCTTAGTCTAAGATTCCAAAATGTCTGAGATTTAAGAAACTTCATTTTAGTAATAGACACACTAGAAAAGTAATTTTTTCATCTTTTGATATCATTAAAGATCTTGTTAATAGTATTGGCTTATTTTAATTTACTCTGAAGGGGATAAGTACCAAGGAATATCAAATATCCTTTCCTCAATACCTCCAATGCCTATTTTCTAACAAGTCACTAGGAGGAAGAATATTTTCTCTCTCTGAAGTTAGTCAAATATTTTTTTTCTACCATTTGCTACATCTTGATTTAAATAGAAAGGAAAGTCGGGCATCTTGGCTGCAAAGGGGATGTTGTACACCCCATCAAAATCTCTACTGGACAGTGCCGATGAAGGGAATTCTTGTGCGACCTATTTAACTGTCTCAGTTTGCCTCATCCACATCCTGATAGAAAGCAGGTTTATAACAGCTTTCTTTTAGCCAATTCTGGCAAACAAGAGAATAGAAGATTCTGTATTTCACATCTTCCTCAGAAAGTCAAATTTTTTAAAAAAGCATTTGTGAAGATAAATAGTCTGACGCTAAGAAACAAAGTAATTTAGAAAGTCTTAAATCTTTTAAAAAACTCCCCTAAAAGGCCCTGAACTTTGCTAAGCATCTTGCTTTCGGACAGAATTCTGCAATATTCTTTTTGGGGCCTCAGTCCTCCCTAATAGTAAAGTTTTGATCTACGTCCAGGAATTCTTGAAATAGAGAATAGACAACTTCAAAGACTATTCAACAAAGTGAGGAGGCCTGAGATTTATACTTTCTCCAAGTCCAAGTTTAATAAACAAAGACCGGTTACGTGATAAATACATTAAAAATGAGCAAAACATATCAGAATATGGCTTTATGCATCTATATATTCCATACTAACCAATAAGGAGAAGGGTTCCAACAGCTAAGCCTCCACCTGGAAATAAAACAAAATGAAGAACAAAGTAAGACTACCTTTTAATACTATGTTAGAGAACAATTAAGTTTTCTTAGTTTATAAGTCAAAGAAAGGTGATAACAGGGAATTTTAAAATGTAAATGTGAACAACATTTTAATTACCTTTGCAATAGTTCCTACAATTCTCTATTATGAAATAATTACACATTACATGTAATTATATATTACACATTACAATTAGTTTCACAATATACTGTACTATCATCTTTGTGGTAAAGAGATCCTGCAGAGCTCTATGCAACTATGCTTAAGTACTACAATAATGATGTATGGTCTGAGCCAGAGAATTTTTATTCGGATGACTCAAGTGAGTAAACATTTTCCAAATTAATTCCATATTAATCACTTACCAGGTGATAGTGCTTTGTACCAAGCACCATCTATGCAAAGTGACCTAGTAAGACGCTAGCAAATTCCCACTGAAACCAGTCAGGCAGAATTCTAGTTCCTGTTTTTTATCTTATTACTGAAAAGAAATATGATAATAAGGCAGGTAGGATTTCACCCAATGAAGCTGGACTGACAGTTCATAACATAAACCAGGAAAAAAAAAATTAGTCTTTTTTAGTATTTCTTAGACATAAAAATGTCTCTACAAATACAGTTGATGGAAATAATTATTTAATAATAAGAATACATTTTAAACCATGGCCACTAATATTTTTATCCCTTTTTGCTTAAACAATTACATTAATCAATCTTTATGTACCAATCACAGATGATGGAGTATGAGAGGGAATAGAACGCTCCCAATATGTTTGATATGCACATTCTTACCCCACTGATCTCAACAGTGTGGAGGACCAAAAAACAAAACAAAACGAAAAACTATGAATGCCGGTTCTTTGCTAAAACCTGACTGTTACTTGTTCAAAGAGAAAACAAGTATAACTATGTAAGGGTGGTTTAAATGATCATTATCCTAAGAAGGAATTTTAACAGAGAAGATGAAGGAAGAATCCATATTTCACTTCAGGTGAAGAGTAAGCTATTTTGCAATCTGAATTCCAGTTAGAAAATAGTGGAATAACTTGAAATCAGATTACAAGTATTTTATTGAAAAATCATATACAACTGTGAAGGAAAGCTCAAAATTTTTGGAAGTGCTCAGATGCCCATACATAAATAGCCTATTAAAGTGTTTTGCATAACTGCAGTATGTTTTCTGCAATTACATCCTGCTTTAAAAGCAAATTTGGAGCAAACAGTATCACACAAGTATCACAACATCCAAAGCTCTTAACAAAAGAACTCAATTCTGGACTGCACAGGCAGACTCCAGTGAAAGGGGTAATTCAGTCTATCAATTTAAAAGCTCATTAAGCTTCACTTGAAATTGATTCCAATAGGGACTGGATCAATTTCTTAATCTTTAGCTCTGCTGGTGGGACCACGAATCTCTGCAGCACCTGCGATGTTGATACATACCCAGAAGGAAAACAAAAAGCCAATTTCCCTCCCACAGGCCAAATAACTGTCAAAGGACTAACTACACTAGCCTTCCTTTTGATCAAGAGGCAAAAAATTCTGCATTCACCGTTAATCTATGAGAACTCATTTTTAGGTCCTTAATGTCTAAACAACTGAGTTGCTATGCACATTCTAATAAAAGCCATCACATGATTTAAGATGCAATACAATTACACAAAATATCACACCAAAAGAATTTCTAAACAAAATACATTTTTCATTTTCATATGATATAATTTTAACCCCAAAATTAAGTTACACAAAATGATAATTCTTAGCATTTCTAGCATTATGAAAGAACTACCAACATACTGGATGACAAAGTATTTATTATAATATTTTTTAAAGAAGTATACATAACTAGGGCAGACAAAAGGCATCAAAATCAATAAATTAAGAAAGTGTTGTACAGCCACAGAAAATTAGAAACTATTATAGAAGCATAAGACACGGCAGATCTCCTTCATGATGTTCATGATCATGAACATCTAGGTTTCAACAAATCAAATCACAGGCCAAAACCATTCTGTGCAACGCAAGACCATAAGGACAGATACGTCAAAAGATATTTTTACTTGCACGAGTAGGACAGGTGTGGCAACAGCGCGCCTATAGCAATCACAAGGCTTCTACAAGAGCCATAGAAAGTGATAATATTGTTGCATTGTAATGCCTGAATTCAAAATGCAACACAATGACATTGCCACTATGTCATGATGTTAGCACAATTTTAGTAGTATATCACAGTGCAAAAGTTTAGTCAGCTACTAATTTCATGTTTGTATCTCAGTGCATCACAGATATTTTAAACTATAGTCCTGAGTCAAGATGTACAAACTCCTCAATATTTTTGGCAGACTTATTAAGTAAGCAGGTAGTTCTTCAATACTTAAAAAAATATGAATACTATTTATTAGAAAATTAGAATCACTCATAGAATCTCAATATTATAAATACACCAATTTTCGCTTCATTTCGTATGTTCAGGAAAACCCCAAACACAACCAAAAGTTCTTCTATTGAGGGGAAGGAGAAAAAAAAAAAGACCAAAATCAAAAATCATATAGATGGTAAATAAAAAGTATGCTTCAAATATTCACTGCATTTGTTTGTTTAGGAAAATGAAACATATGTGCTACTAAGAGCAGTTGTTTAAAACTAGCACATGTTGTATACAGCTAATAGAATAGATGAAAATTACGAGCTCTTACCAAATCATAGCTAGTCATAGAAAAGATGATCAAAACAGCCCTAAACAATACATTACCCCCAGCAATAATGACTTAACCTTGACAATAAAAAGCTCAGTTGAAACCATCACAGAAATAGTGTTTCTTCTGTTTTTAAATAGCTTATACAAGAAAGCATTTGTTTGACAAACAGGATTATCAATTCAGTCAAAATTCTAACAAGAATACTCTGATCAAGCCTCTCCTGCCTCTTTCGATAAGCCAGAGTTGTAATGTATGTGCATAAACCCTAGACGCTAAGGGCAAACTCAGGTCAGAGGACCGGCTGATCATTATCAGATGTACTGAACAATACAGGTAAGTGTATTTTATTAGATGGAATGTAAAACTATTGCAGCCATCATAATTATATCTTTTACAATGAGCAATAACAACTGTAAAATAGGCAAGAGACAGACCACAGGGAAAAGTAGCAGGAAAGTCGACAGAGTCAGAATAGACACTTAAAATCTTCAAGTTTTCTAAGAAAACTGCTGTGAACTTGTAATTTTTTGTTTCTTATTTTGATATTTCAGTTTTTATTTGCCAGGATCAAAAGCAGTCCCAAATGTAAACAGCTAAGCAAGATTCATAACTCTCTGCATTCTACTTTTCAGCAATGAGATTTAAGACCTTAAGGAAAGAAACATAAAAGACATAGATACCTCACAGAAGAGCCTGAAATCATAACACTATTTACTGGGGTTTTCACAGCAAGCATTCAGAAACATTGGACATGATTCTGAGTACATTAGTTCTTTGCAATATTGTACTCAAAATTCCTATTTAGAACATCTCAACATCACTCTGCAGCACATTTTACCACTGCAGGAATAGCAAACTATCAAAACTATCTGTGGTTCTGCAAAGGACAATTAGATTATTAATCTAGGTCAAAAAAAAAAAAAAACTTGAAATATTTCAAGCATGTACATATGTTTTTAAGTATGTATGAACAAAATTGATTCCTAGCACATGCTTGCATGCACAGTTTGCATCTTGAGAGGTGCCCATATTGTTTCCTAGCACATTTGTGACCTTTTTTAAACTGCTTGCAACAAAAAATTCAATACAAGGCATGTGATGTTCATGTTACATAATAGTTGCAGCTCGTAACAGAGAGCTGCTTTGGCACAAATCAGACATATATGGTCTATAAACCTTGAAACTAGGCTTCAATATAAAACTCAGGGACGTAAAGAGTGCCTTAGTGAAAACATAGGCTTTGAAATCAAGCACTTCACCACTACTTATCTTTGATGGAAGATGCATTTACCAAGAAAGAGCTAGCTATCAACACTAATGGGACAATTCAACAAGTAGCTGTAGGTAAAAGAAATTCCTGCACGCATCTTCTGTGTTTTCCTCTCTACAAAGTTTTTGTTTAGCCCTGTGTCTAATAACACCATTTTTTCCCTTACTCACAGATAATCATAAACTCTGTTTTCATGTCTGTCAAACAATACCGTATCCGGGTTGTCACTTCAGGACAAGGCAAACTCAAATCCAAGCCCAAAACATGAGAGCTAGATTATGCCTGGTGACTGCTAAAAATATGTTTCTGAAAAATATCAGGGTAACACAGTTTATAGCAACTTCCACTGGGAATGTATTAAAAAAAATTATTTTCAGTCCCTGGTGACAATAAAATACAGTATTTTGTACAGTCAGCTGCTTAATTGCTAGTGGGCAAGATGGGGAGGGGGGGAAGGAGAGCCAGCATTCTTAAAGAAACACATAAATAGCCCTCTGCAATACATTTATGAAGCATTTCCACATGCACCTGAAAAGGACATGAAGGAGATCAGGTATATTTTTACATTCACCAGCATACCAGGCTGCATTAACAGGAGCGCGGCCAGTAGATTACAGGACGTGACTACTCACATTCAATCAGTACTCTTCAATCAGCACACTAATCATCTCATTAGACCACATCCAGTCTAATGAGTTTTGTCCCACCCACAGTCGCCCTCTCCCAGTACAAGAAAGAAGTAAAGATAAAATTGAGCGAGTTGAGCAGAGGGCCACTGAGATAGTCAGAGGTCTGGAGCACATGACCTAAGAGGAACAGCTGAAGGACCTGGGCTCATTTAGCCTGGGGAAGAGAGAAGATCCCACAAGCAGCCTTCCAGTATCTAAGAGAAGCCAGTGAGAAGACAAGAGTTGGGTTCTTTACTGAGATGCACAGTGGGAGAGCAAGAGACAACAGACATAAATTCAAACAGGGAACACTTCAACAGGATATAAGCAAAAAGA